CTAATCATGATCAATAGTCGACTTGAAACAGGAAGGAAATCTTTCGTTTGGAAATTCGTTTGAGCAAACGAATTTCCAAAATGAATTGATGAGGCGGTTGATAAACAAGACCAACATAAAAATGGCACTATAATTTCATCATTTACACCTTGAGAGTATTCATTCGTATATGACTGGAAATACTCTTTTAATTAACTCGGGTGAACAGCTCGATCGGAAGGCGATACAGAATCAACTGAGTGAAGTAGGTGACTGATATGTAATGTCAACACTAACAGCAACCTACTATCACGTCGGAATATTTGATCACGTCGGGCTCACCAATTAGGATTTGTCCTGGTGCGAACTTGACAGACGCAAAGACCAATCACTAATTATTCGAACTTGTTATATACCCACGAATACGAGACCAAGGAAGAACACGATAGCGTAGTCGGATGGAATAGTATATTTGGATGGTTATGCCAAAATACCGATGCGTTCCAACTAACTGGCTAGAGAGTCGAATACGAGCAACGCAACGTAACACGACAGCGTGCCAAATGGCGAGGATGCTTGACCGGGTGCCTTCAGCTTAGCGAGTCCAGTTAAACTATCAAGGTCAGCATCAATGTCGAAAGTCGTCAAACCCTAGGCTATTGATTTTGGGGAAGTGTGTGACGCTACAGGTTTATCGACTTCAGACCACAGGGTAAAAATGTTGATGTCATTGATATAGCTGCATTGCAAAAATCCTCCGGTTTATTGATACTACACATAGTTTTAGTATGATTGTTTTCATATCATACCGTCGTTGCTTGGACCGAATTGATCGGTCTCTATTGGTATATGGGCTACTGTGCGAATGGCCCGATATTGTCTGCGTTCTAATTATGTTAGTGATGGATCGTGGCTAGCAGTGGAATCCAGGATGCGCATTTCGTCCTGATTAGCATAGGTTAGCTGGATGTACCTGCTTCCCAGTGAGTGATGTTGTCCCCACCAGGACAAAATGCGCATCCTGGATTACATTGCAAGCCACGACCCATCATTACTACACGTAGTTGCTGCAAGAATTGAAGAGGTGGAGCATTTTATTATTGGTTCAAACTACCACTCAACCTGATACCACATCGGTAATTGGGAAATACAACAAAAGCGTTAGCAGCCATGAATTCATATATTATCCTCGAATTAGTCGTTGAACCACACATTTCCATTCACTTTGCATCTTCTGCCTTTGGGTCATGGCCTTCTCTAATTTCTTATGCTTTCTTTCTGTCTTTGTGTGCCGATAGCGGGTTATGTCACGAAGTCAGTTTCAATATTGTTTTCGTATCTGCAAGTTCCATGTAACATCCATCTTGGTACACAAATGCTTCACTAGAATCCTGAGTAGCGCTAATGGTTCACCACCGTTACTGTCACTGATTATCAAACCGACCCAAGGTAGTCCAAATATTTTGTTCCTTCGCCTCCTTTAAGTCATCTATGAAATATGATTAACAGAAGCACTACACTCTATGGTACCGTTCCCTTAACCAACCACCTGTCAGATAAAGTATATTATTCATACAAGTAGAATCAATTTTGGCAAGAATTAACCCGTTTCAGATCAAAACGTGAATCGTTATTTGTATTCTTGACTGTCTCATAGTCGCGTAGGGAAATAGACATACACTGGTTGTATTCGGCATGACAAATGAGATCGACGTTTGAAAAATCAAGATGGTACATCTCAGGATAGACGTTAGTATTGCACTAGTATCCACGAACTATCTGTAAATTAGTATCATACTGTTGGTCTGAATCATGTGGGGCGGCAATGTACACTGTCTGGCATGGATCACCAGATGAAAGGAATCAGTGGTCGAGAAATCTTGGTGACAAGGCTGAAAATCAGTCACAATAGCATAGATGTATCCACTCCGTAACATATCCAAAAGCTTGAATACTTAATACTAACATTTATCTTCAGTATTTCTCTCAGTACTTTGTCTACCGTGACACCATACATTTCCTATCCATATGGCCTTTGTATACTTCCGTGAAGTGTGGTAACTTGCGCCGACGTGCTCCGGCGTGAGGCTGTACATTGATTTTGTCAACTAGTATTCAAATTAGATGACATATCAAAGTTCGTCAGTGTATTTTTTCTCTCCATCTTATTCAGACATTCAACTGGTTTCTTCTTTGCTTCTCCACCTTCATCAAGGTGGACTTTGACTTGCGCTGATTTAAGGTATGGAAAGGTATTTCGCTAAGCAGTAGTGCACATAGTATATCAGCCTGATAACAGCCGTTTACCTGCAACTGATAAGTACGACGAACAGCTGTTAAAATGCCACTGCATGTTCTAATATACGACGTCTATGGTATCTTGCACAGCTTAACTGATACTCATGACAAAAACAATAGATACCCAGAGTGTAGCAATTTCTCTTTGCACATACCCAGCATACTACAAAAGTCTACTGAGTTCTGGTAACACAAAAATGCAGCTACTGTTATAGCAAACTATACTACTAACCTGTGATTAGCATCCGAAGGTGTACTGCTGGTTTCAGGAGGAGTCACAGCAACAATATGTGGCCCACTGATGATAAAATGTACCATCCTGGTGCTGTCCTATGGCGTACTGAGATTAGAAAAATTTCAGCCTCGAAAACACAACATTCTTACTTTGCAAATTTGTCTTGGTTCAACTAGAATAAACAAAATTTTAGCTTGAACTTTGTACTGTTATTTTACCACGAAATATATTGCATAAAATTCCTCCCCTCTTCATTGTTTTAATTATTCCCTTGTGCCCTAAAATCATACTATATTCTCTCACGCATTGTAGTCCTCAAATGGTCTCAAGCAAAACCCTTCTAGATGACAGACTGTTAACTTTAACCTCAAGTACGAAAAAGACTGTTTCGGTTCCATGACTGTCGTAATATTGATGCTGTCTGTGTAGAAAGCAAATCAGATGTTGCCGATCTTGGATTGAACGTTTCTTCTGACTTATGTCGGATTTTCGTGTACTGTGTATTACAAGAGGAAGTTGAGACTGGTGTAGCTCAGCCTATACCTATACAAGTTATTAACCCCTGTATATATATATATGTACATATTCTTTGCTGTTTCGCGTTAATCCCTCTCGGTCTACTAGAAACGGGCTGTGTTGTATTGCGTAGGGATTTGAAAACTGTCAGTGAAGTAAGTGGCGTATCTGATTCAACTGCTTGACACTAGTTGATAGACATTAATAATTAACGAAGGCAGCTAACTGCTGTCTTTTTTGAGGTGCTGAGCATTCATTTCACTTGTGTTCATAATACCTCTGAGAAGAGAAGAGAATGGGCTAGACTTCACACGTGTACGGCTAAATAATGGAATTCAACTGTGTTCTTACCCTACCGTACCTAGCTAGTAAGCAAGCGCGCTTGTCAGGTGAGCAAGTGTTACAATGGAACTCGCTTATCAACTTGGTAACACTAAAACGTCAGCCATTCTTATTTAATTTTATCATATTCTTATGGAGGTTTCCCTCTCCTCACCTTATTACACAGACGTTGACCCAATCACAGGTGAATTTTCTTTAGATCTAGAATATGCAGATGACATAGTCCTAATAGGTGAAGACGCTGACAAGATGCAGTCTTCTGATCACTTTCAGTGGGAATTTGAGAATGTTTAGGATGCGATTTTCACCACCCAAATGCAAATTTTTGCTCCAGGACTGGTCTTCAGCGGTGCCCCACCGCGGTTAACAATAGAGAGTGAAGTGGTTGAGTGTGTTGACCACTTCACTTACCTGGGAAGTAGGATCAACCCCGGTGGGTTAGTTGCCGATGAGATTTCTGCACGGATACAAAAGGCTCGATTGGCTTTTGTCAATTTGCGCCACCTATGGCGCCACCGTGATATTCGTTTGTCTATTAAGGGTCGCGTGTACTGCACAGCAGTCCGCTCTGTTCTACTATATGGCTGTGAAACATGGCCAGTGAAAGTGGAGGATACAAAAAGGCTTCAGGTGTTTGACCACCGTTGCCTTCGTAGTATAGGACGTATTCCGTGGTGTCACCACGTGAGTAATGCAGAACTCAGGTGTAGAGTTTTACGGAGAAGAGGTAAGTCAGTAGACGAGGTTGTGAACCTTCATCGACTGAGATGGTTGGCACACGTACTACGTATGCCTGCCTAGTCACCGATTGCCTCGTCACACAATGTTGGCTGAGGTGGGTCCAGGCTGGAAAAACGCCCGAGGTGGCCAGACTAAAACATCGCACCAATGTATGAAGTCTCTGACTGTTGGTTTAAGCCATGTAGGACGATGCAGACTAGGTGGTTGGGGTCCACGGGACAAGAGGAACCAGTGGTTGGAGACTGACTGTAGGTGATATGGCTCAGAACCGAAGTCAGTGGCGCAGATGTATACACACATTATCCTCATCTTAACAACGCTATACCGAATCTCACTATTTTGTCACTCCTCTTTCCTTTCTTCTCGTACATTATATTTCTTTTGACTACATTCACTTATCTTCATCCTTCACCTCACTACCTTTTTACTTGATGTGCTGATTGAGGTGTGGCAACTCGGACCGTTACGCAGTAATGCCTGGTCCTATGTTGATAATGGCGAGTATTTTCAATATCCCAACAGCTTTTATGTAATTGTTTGTCTTACTTACATATTATTTACAAAATTTAAATCACTATAAATAACACTTGAAATGTTCTGAAGCAGTATATTTTTCTTGCAACATAACATACCGAGAATTCTAGATCGTATCAAAATTCTTTGGAAGAAAGGGATTATTATTATTATTATTATTATTATTATTATTATTATTATTATTATTATTATGACCATCCACTGACGTATCACTTCGATTTCCACTAGTTTCAACTTGATTCACACTTTTTAGATGAGTCACCAACTCACTTTTTGTAGTGTTTGCAACGTGCGGTGTGACACAGAGAAAATGCTCAGGTTGCACCAGGGAGGTAAAAAACATCTTTCCAAGTGTATGGCTCTCACCGGCTCAAACACATGGGATCGTAGTAATCCAATAAGGATTGCTTTGCCAACTCTTTCAACTCCAGAATCAGTTTCACCTCAAGGTTCACATTGGAATGTAAATTTTTGTTTACCAGAAACTATGTTGAACTCTACGTCCAATGTAGAATCATCCTTCGATATTGATTGTGATGTGAAATGGACAGAACCAAGATCAAACCAATCATCATCATCATCGTCATCATCTGGAATGGATTTCTTTTGCAGCTGTTGTGATGTTAAAATGAACTCTTCAGCTCAAATGGCTTCACATATTCGTGGCCGCAAGCATCAGAGTAAAGCAGCCTCTTGCTCAATAGATATCCTTTCTATCAGAAGTGTCAGCATCAAAGTAAAGTTTAGGTCCCGTTTCAAAGGATAATCGCAAGGTAAAAGCACCTCCAAGCTCAATGTATAGCCCTTTCCTTAGGAACTATGAATGTTAATTATGAAACTTACGTTGGGGCATTAGAAGAGAGTAACCGATTCCGTATAAGTTACCAAGCAATAAAACCTTACCTCTAACAATTGGTTCTTTGTATGCTGCCTTAAAGTGAGGCTCGTTGAATCATTGGACTTGTTTTCTGTTGAAAATTTCAAAACTGTTATGCCTTCATTTGTATGTACAACCCTCAAAATCTACTGTCAGTCTCATATGCAAGATGAATCAATAAAGAAGTTAATCAATTCACTATAAAAGAGAATACTATATCAAAAATGAGATAGAAAATTAGGTCACAGGGAGTCAAGGCAACTACAAAAAAATTAGTTATTCCGACCAACAACAATAACAAAGATAAGCATTATAAGTGAAGAAAAGAGATCTAGGCAAATCTGTTTTGTTAAATAATGACAAAAGTACCCCAATGGCAATAAGTAAAAGGATGAAAAGGTGACAATCTGAAATGATGTTTAGCAGTATAGTTCTTGTTTATCAATGCGAATTATATATCGTTCTCGATAACACTGTTAATTAATTCATAGTTAATATTTTCATCAAATTAACATTTAACTATAGACTGTAAAGGATGAAAAAATGCTGTGAGCTTCCACTTTTTTTCCATTAAAGCAAATAATCTGTATTTATTGAAAAAACAAAGAAAAATATTCGAAAAACAATGTTTACTCATTATTCACTAGGGATGTATACGTGATAATAGAAAGCGACTATTCAAATGATAAATGGTCAAAGTTACGTAACTATACAAGAAGGTAAATAAGATATGAAATTGGAGATTATGGTCAACTAACTGCACTTGATAATTTGCTTGGTTGTGGCCTGTAGGAGAATCGATGATGCGCGTTTCGTCTTATTTGGAACTCGTCAGCTGAATGTACCTACACACTCCAGTGCGGAGAGATGTTGTTCCCACCTCCTATACTATAAGTATTAGTTATTGCTATTTACTGATATGTGAGCAATGTGATGTATTTGCGCAATACATTTCGAACAATCTGATCCATCACACATTCACTTGTCAAGTCAATATGTATTCAACCGAGGACTGGGAGCGGGGGGGGAGGGGGACAAATACAACAATTAACACAATAGGGGATTAAAATTAGGAAAGATGAGGACAAACAGGAAGTGACCCAGTTGATACTAATCTTGATAAGAAAACAAAGTTTACCAAGGTAGGTGTAGTGTAATAACAAACTGTTTTTGTACACATAAAGATGGTTTAAATTTGTGTATGGCTATGGCTACGCAAATCTCAGAATACGTCCCTGACTGACTGTTTCTATATAAAACTTTGAAAGCTGTTTGAACATTAACTTTATGACCTGTTTGCTGCATGATCCAGTCCACCACAATCAAGAATATCATGGGGGATAGTAGGCAACCTTGTTTCACTCCTGTCTTCACTTCAAAAGCATCACTGAGCTTCCCATTGTGAATTACTTGGCTGGTACGTGGCATCTTCATATAGTTGTTGAATGAGGCGGATAAAGGTTTGTGGTACTCCGTAGTATTGAGGCAGTTTCCAAATTACCTCTCGGTCGACGCTGTCAAAGGCCTTCTCAAAGTCGATGAAGTTGAGGTAGAGAGCTGATTGCCATTCTATGCTCTGTTCTATGATGATACGAAGCGTTGCAATTTGGTCTGCACATGATTTGTACTTCCTGAAGCCTGCCTGTTCCGGTCGCAGTTTTGAATCCAGTGCGTCTTTAAGCCTCTCCAGGATGATGCGGCTTAATATTTTACTTGGGGTGGACAGGAGAGTGATTCCGCGCCAGTTCTTGCAAGCACTGAGGTCTCCCTTCTTCGGCAGTTTGACAAGGTAACCCTTCTTCCAATCGTCAGGTACCTTCTCTTCCTTCCACACCTTCTGCAATAGTGGTGTGAGCATGGCCGCTGTTGTCTCTGCATCTGTTCTCAGTGCTTCTGGCGGGATCCCATCTGGTCCTGCTGCTTTCCCGCATTTCAGTAGCTTTATGGCGTTCACGACTTCCATTTTCGTTGGGGGATTTATGTTCACTTGTAATTCAGCGGCTGCAGGTGGTATTTCTGGACGAAGTGCAGGTGGTGGTCGATTCAAGAGCTTCTTGAAGTGGTCGGCCCATCGTTTCCTCTGTTTCTCTTCTTTTGTAATTAAATTTCCTTCTTCGTCTTTTATTGGTTTCATCTGTGTTGGTCTCTTCCCTGATAGCAACCTGGTTATTTGATACAATGTCGTCAGGTCTCTCTTACCTGCAGCCTGTTCTGCTTCACTTGCCAGTGTTTCGTAGAAGTGTCTTTTGTCTTTGCGTGCACGCTTCTTTACTTCTTTGTCCAGTGCTTTATACATTGTGCTCAGTTCCTCTTGTCGTTGAGCATCCTTGCACTGGTTTATATTCTGCTTCACCATCCTCCTCTCCTCTATCAGCTTCTAGGTATCCGTCGAGATCCATTCCTTGTCCCGTCTTCTTTCTTCTTCCTTCCTAATACTGTTGTGCAGGTTTCTTTCCACATAGCTTTCAAAGACTTCCAGTGTTCTTCCACACAGGTTTCTTCAGGGATGTTGCTCGATGTGTCCCATTTTGTCTTGATGGCTGCCGTGAAGATCTCCTTTGTAGTTTCACCCTTCAGTTTCCGAGTGTTGTACTTGAATTGAGGTCTATCACCAGCTTCCTTGAAGGCTTTTAACTTGATTTGCAAGGTAGGTTCCTTGCACTAGATAGTGAGTGATGTGAACCTACATCTGCTCCTCTTCTTGACCTTGTGTCCAGTAGGCTGGCTGCGTCTCCATTTTCTTGAGATTGAGATAAAGTCGATTTGATTTTTAGTGTGTCCATCTGGTGAAATCCATGTCGCTTTGTGGATATCTTTGTGCCTGAACACACTGCCTCCAATCACCAAATCGTTGAATGCACAGAATTCTGCAAACAATTCTCCATTCTCATTCATTTCACCTAGCGCCTCTCGACCCATGGTTAGTTCTCTTCCTGTGTTGTCCCCTCCCAGTTTGGCATTCATGTCGCCCCACGCATTAGAATTTTGATATCGCCAACTGGAGTGGAGTCTTGTCCAGTGTTGATTGAAGTTGTCTGTAGAATTCCTCCTTTTTCTCTTGCTCTGCATTATTTGTAGGTGCATAACATTGTATGATTGTGACCTTTCTTCCTTTTGAGTTGAATCTCAATGTCATGATCCTGGAGGAGATTGGTTCCCACTGCATGAGAGCCTTCGATGCTCTTGAGGACATCATGATAGCCACTCCATAACTCAGTGTGCTCGTGGTTGTCGTCTGGGTGACCGGAGTAGATTATTGATTCTCCAGTTGACAGTTTGGAGAGTCCACTCCCATCCCATCTGCTTTCGCAAATCCCAAGCACTTCGATGTTATACCTTCTCATCTCCTTTGCAATCTGGGCTGCCTTACTGGGTTCAAACATCGTGCGGACATTCCATGTCCCCACGTTTACTTTCGCTTTCATCGAGAGAAGACACATCGGCCCAGGCAATTGGCTTCCCGAAGGCTTTCACCAACTGGCGTCATTTCGCCTCTCCGATTCCAGCGGGGAATAAGTTTGTTTTCATTTTTTATATTTTGTTTGTGCTTTGAAGTTTGTTTAGCGGTTAGTTTTGTTTTCCGGGGTAGGGTTGCTAGCCCTATGCCCAACCTTCCCTCTTTACCCGGGCTTAGGACCGGCTAGTAACTAGTAAACTAGTTAACCAGGCGAGGTTAATTAACACAATAGGGGATTAAAATTAAGAAAGATGAGGACAAACAGGAAGTGACACAGCTGATCCTAATCTTGGTAAGAAAACAAAGTTTACCAAGGTAGGTGTAGTGTAATAACAAACTGTTTTTGTACACATAAAGATGGTTTAAATTTGTGTATGGCTATGGCTACGCAAATCTCAGAATACGTCCCTGACTGACTGTTTCTATATAAAACTGTGAAAGCTGTTTGAACATTAACTTTATGACCTGTTTCTGAGGTATGTTTAGCTATAAATGAAGAGGGTCGTCTCCCACCAGCGTTTATCACTGTTTCACACTCCATTTGTTTTTGAAGCCATTTAGGTACATCTCTCACCCTCAAATGCATAACTCGATTACTCCTCCCTGTGTATGTGTGACCACACACACATGTAAATTGGTAAACACAATGGGATGTGACGCAATCACTGATGCAGTGTTTAGGTTTTTGGTGAAGCATGTGTTTTGTTTTCTCCACAATGGTAAGATTCGCTGCGTAGTACGTTTTCTTAATGGCTGATGTCAGCCTACGTCTCAAAATGATACTACTAAATAGACTTAACGCCGTACAAACACACATCAGCCTGACATGTGAGAAAGAGAATGGTAATCAAATGCCATTCCTAGATATACTTCTCAGTCGACGAGAAGATGGTTCAATAAGATGGTTAGTTTACAGAAAGCCTACATGGACAGGACAATACCTGAATTTCCAGTTTTTGTCCAATCTAATACAAGCGAGGTTTAGCAAAATGCCTGTTTAACAGGATCTATCGTATCAGTACACTAGGTGCGATGGATGAAGACATCAAATTACTGAGCAAAGCACTTATGGAAAATGGATATTCGACGAAGTTTATAAACCGTTGTAGAGGTCAAGTAGCACCAAAGCCAACTCTATACACGGTCCTTAAGAAAAATGTCCATATCACTCTACCATACAGAGGGGAACTAAATAGTATCATTTTGAGACGTAGGCTGACATCAGCCTTGGTAAACTTCGTTTTCTTACCAAGATTAGGACGAACTATGTCACTTCCTGTTTGTCCTCATCTTTCTTAATTTTAATCCCCTATTGTGTTAATTGTTGTATTTATCCCCCCCCCCAGTCCTCGGTTGAATATATATTGACTTGACAAGTGAATGTGTGATGGATCAGATTGTTCGAAATGTATTGCGCAAATACATCACATTGCTCAGATAAACTTCGTCTTCTAATTACGCTATCGAAATTCATAAAAGGGACTAACTGTTTCAAATTTACTGATATGGCTATAACTCTCCGTTATTTTAACTAGATCGAATTGTTTGACTTCTATTAGCAAATAGGTTCCTATGCGGATGCCTCGATATTGCCTGAATGTTAATTATGATAACTTCCTTGGTTGTAGCTAGCAGACAGTCCACAGTTAGCAAATAGGACAAAACGCGCGTCCGGGATTGTTTTGTTAGCCACAACCAAGCAAATTAGCATAACTAACATCCAGGCAACATCGAGGCATCCGCATAGGAGCGCATATGCCAATAGAGGTCGAACAATTCGATCCAATAAAACAACAGAGAATTACAAGTATATCCATAAATAGTAACAACTGCATTTGGTTCGAGAGAACATTACTCACAAACTTCGTGTTTGCCAGATGATAAGCAGTTAGTCACGTACGGTGTGTATGTAAGCTCATCAGCATTGAGGACTAAAGCATAACACTGATAAACATACCAACCACCCAGCCAACAGGCAATTATTCTGTCCAGGCCAATCTTATCTGAAGTCAATAAGCACTGTAACACTTCAATGATCGTTGTGATGAACCAAGTGGATTCGAATGTTAGAAAGAACACCATCTTGAGGTTGAAAACTACCTTTCTTGATAACTAACCATTGGCAAGTTGCGAATCAAATAATTAAATCTAATAATAATAATAATAATAATAATAATAATAATAATAATAATACAAATCGACTGTGCACAGCTTCCATTCACTGTTCAATCAGCATAATTTGCAGCATGATAGCCTCTTTTACAAACCAGTGATCCAAGGCAAAACAGGTGGGAAATGGCATTGAATCCGATAACTTTTGTGTGAGACTTCACTTACCAGGTCGCATCACAAGGCATAACGAATTTGGATTTATCTCTTAACTATCTCCAAACATTTCACACCAAAAACAAGTAACAAGTAAGTAATAAATGTAACTATTTCAATATGAAAAAAATAGCTTACCCGACCACGATTGACTTGATCGGTGTAGACTTGAAGATAATTACAAAGTAGCTTAACAAATTCTCTATCCTTTGACACCAAGTCAACATTCTCAATAATTATGCCACAAACAAATCTTTGTTGCATGACTAACTTGGATACATACTTGACAAAGGAATCTAAGAGAATACATATGGAAGAGGAAACAACACATTATTACTCATCAGATATTAAGCCATGTGTATAAATATACTATTCCATGCTATGAAAAAATCTTTAATTCCTTAATTATAGATAGATAAATGAATTGATGATTGGAATGTAGTGTTCATTTATCAACAAAGTTGATTACTGAACAACAACAGCGGAGAATTACAAGCATATCAATAAACAGTAATAACTACTACCCATTGCACAAGAAGTGGCTATCGTTCTCCTGTGGTATAGTGGATAACGCCTTGGCGTTTGAAGCGATGGGTGTGAGCTTCAAGTCTTAGTGGGAACTACATCAGTCACTGGGGTGCAGATACATGAAGCTAACGAGTCCCAAATAGGACGGGACGCGCGTCCTAGATTCTTCTGCTAGCCACAACCAACCAAATTATCGTAACTGGAGAGTGTTTCAAACTAAAGATAACCAAGGCAGTGGTTTCAGTAAGTAGAAAGGAATTACGAAAACCTTACTTATCTGGATATCAACTTGCTGTTAAAGAGTAATATGAGTTATTTATCAACCTCAGATAGGATTGTAGCAAAGTCAATTGTATTCAGCCTTAGTTTCATGAACCGCAAGTTTTTCAGCTTTAGAGAACTAATTCGCTTCATACACTGATCATGTAGTATTACCAGGTCCCAATTTGATATTGACTAAATCACTGACTGCGTATTATCAACCTAGTCCCACGGTTAACGAATGGTCGGTGGTCGTACGGAAGACTCATAGACAGCATTTCCAACACATGCCTAAATCAGTAAAGTCGGTCTTCTGATATGACACCACACTTACTCAGAGGTTGACCATTTCTGTTACGGTTAAAAATGTCTATCAACCTTTAGCGATACCCACATGATCTTAAAACAATGGAAACAGAAGTAACAGAATATAAGGAGTTAGCAGACATTTTTAGCTTGTAGAGATCAGGTTTCACAAAAGTGGACCATACCATTTGATTCTATACAATCGAAATAACTTTACACAACGTGGCCGAAATTGAGGTAGAACAATACGCATACAGTGCCTGGCTATTTGCTACACTACTGAAGCGTAAACATTCACTCTCCGACAAACACACACACAACGACCGAGATACAAGACGTTTTCGATTAATTCTGACTTCTTACTTTCAGGAATAAGTGAGGGCACAAACATACTCCAGTCCATCTTGTTAACTTACTCTGCATACCTATGATGCTTGCTTACGAACACAGACCAAACGTGATTTGAAAAAGGTGAGAAAAATTAACTTACCAGGACTTGTGAGTATGACATCAGTTTGGAATACTGTTTCCATGTCCAACGGTGGATACGCAAATATTAGTCGACGTTCAGTAGAACTTTCCTCAATATTTGGACTATGTCATAAAAAGGCAAAAAGAATATTGAAATCATGAGAGATAGTCAATGCTACTTTGAGAGAGAGAAAGAGGGAGAGAGGAAAAAAATCCGCTTATTTGATTCGTGGGTTAAAATCTTCGGTATCCTTTGGAAAATATATATATCATCAATAAAATGTAAAGCAGCATATCAGACAATCATCGAACTACACCCTCCCTCTAACAGAACAAAAATTGATGCGTCTAATAAACCTTACTCACTTCTTTTCGGCGTCGTGATGTACACTACTGAAATATATTCTCATAATAAGTGTTCACCGAACTACTTCCCCCTCTAGAAAGTTGATTTCGTAGTCTTGCTGATTTCCTATGCAATTCTTGGCACTTCTTCCCGAATCGATATCAAATTCTAAAAACTGAGTAGCATTCACTTTTCGTTATTGTAAATACAGATGATATAAACTTCAACTAATTATTCAGCCGTGACTATAAATGACCCTCCCCATTTTGGAGGCAGTTTCGTTAAACTCATTCGTCCCCGAAGATGCATTGTTGCGTATCGTACTTCATGTGACATTTCTCAAGAGACCTCTACTTCATCTTTTGTTTCCGGTAGGATTTCACCGAATCCGATACGTATGGAGTTCTTTATATTGTACGAGGATGTTCGATGTCCCAATAATATCAATGGTGATTTTGCCTCATAGTTACTTCACCTCCTCTCGTGGTCAGTTACTCTTTCAGGATACGATTATTTCTTTCTCTCAACCCACTAGTTTCTGGCTGGTGGATAAGGAGCCCTTTTTATTCTCCTGATAACCAGTCGTCGCAAGTGAGATATGAACTATTAACAGTAAGGTATATCAGTCCTACTCCGTCAATATAATCTTTGATGTACCACGGTCTTCAACAATCTGTTGAATAACGGCCTTTGGTACTATCTTAGCATGGTGTTCGCGAATTACGGCGGCATCCGGCCATCGTGTCACACGGTCTGTCATTACTGGTTGTCATAGCCTGAAAATGCTATCATAGGATATATGGTCTCCATTCTTATCATCTCCAGACAATGGTTTAACATTCCTTCTCGACTACTGAACACTTCTCCATGACAGGTGTCAATATACAACGATCACACTCAACTTCACCTACGTTCTGTCGTACGATGATACCTATTCCATAGTAGTCGTCTAGAATATGAATGCTTTTCCTAGTACTGGCAACCATTACTTCACTTAACAGTTACTTAATGTATCTTTCGAGTCCACGTAAATTTTAGACTGTAGCCATCTACATGGTGGGGCTTTCTGTGAATGGTTCAGTATCTCAGAAAGCGTCGGCATTGCAGATACAAACAAGTGGCAACTTACATGACTTCCTGTGTTGACGACATATTCCTGTTACATTCAACAGGATTGGCACAGCGCACAGCCTTGTACTATGAAATTAGTCCCAATTCTGTTCTGACAGCAACTGAGGTGCTTGTATCAAATTAAAAATTTTCTCGTCCATTTACCCACATCCCCCCTCTATCTAACAACTCTATAACAGCTGACTTTACGCTAGAGCATATAATACTTTCTTAAGTTTTTACGTCCTCGCCAATTAGCGCAGTTTTGCGCACATGTTCCATCCACATACAGAAACGTGCGCTGTCCCTGTCAAAGTTCATGCATGGAGCTGCTACTTGCTACTCCAAGTTTTTTATTTCCTCCTTCAAGGGATGAAATTCTGGCGAATCTACAATGGCTGTTGTTGTGTTCACCACCTGCTATGAAACCCCTACCAAGACGATAATACCCATTATCCATGATGCCTTCAGAAGCTTCAACTGTCACTAACACGCTGTGAGTTGCAAATATTTATACTGGTCACTCATCACCCATACTGAGTAGCGCACTGTGTAGAAGATTTGTAGGTTTTATAGCAAGCACCAGCGGTAATTGAACCTGATGGGCTGTTCAGATCGAACGTTAACATCAGTCGTCCCTGCAGGGTCACTCACATATCCTTCCCCTCGACATCCTCCAAATCACCGCCAGCTGCTTGTTTAGTAAGCTGTCTTTAGCAGATTGAATTTCATGACAGTGACCAACATCAACAATTCTAAGCACCGATCTCACATAAAATAAGCACAACCCATAAAGAGAAAGAAAGTTACTTGATAGTAATTTTCAAGACTCACAGAAGTTTAAACACGGAAGAGAAACCGCTCGAAGGTTCTTGCACTGTAGGAACAATCCATACTATACATGTAGGCATGCATTTACTCGATGGATTATCGAGAAAAGAAGTAGAAGAAGGATTCCTATTGGCTGCTAACAGAGCATGCGCTAAATGTAAACCAACACGTGATCGACCACCACCAAGTGAATCTAAATGTATTACACAATCATCATCACCTTTTGCTGCTTCTTCTAGAAGTCGAGCCTGTAAATTATAAACACACCAGTAGTTAGTCTTTACATAGAATGGTAAATGTTAGTGCGTAAGGACTACACAGAAATGCTAAAGGAAGATTAACAATGAATTATCTTTCTCAGTTTATCTACTCAGTACTTCAATACACAAAGGTTTTTTATTCAGTCGGCTATAAAAATGATCAGAATGAATAATCCGAAAAGACGGATTCAAGCAGGATTTTGTGAATCCTTTACGGAATTGATGAATGAGACGAAAGAAATTCTGATGCCATAGACCGCAATTTCCCGTCTCTGTTTCGACCCAATTAACCCACCACTACTGCCATATGTGTTCCTGTGTGGAGGCCTTAATATTGTCAGTAATTAATATTTGATATTAAAGATGGATAGAGGTTAGCAATGGAATCCACGACCCACGATTCATCCTTCTTTGGACTCATCAGTCGCATTCACATTCCTTATGGGGAGTGTTGTTACCACTGCGATAAAAATGCTGCGTCTGACTTTCTTTTTCAGTTCTCACCGTAACACAATTATTTAGTGGCAAACATGCAGACGTCGAATGAAATCAAGTGTAAAAGTGAACTTCTAACCGCATGAAGTCCGTGTAATGACTAACTACACTTTGTCGCTGTTCCTGTCTGTATGTCTAAAAATCATATCTCAGAATTCTGATGACCCTTGCTATCTAACTTTGCAATGGATTCAGACATGCAGTTTCGATCCTTGTCTCACTAGAAAAGCAATAGTACTTCATGATTTGAAATTGACCAGCTACATCAAGCGACGTTGACACAGCAGTGTGAAACGAGCCAATAGGTGGTAAAGACGACAAAAACGAGGAAAAAGGTAAATGTGTGTAAGCATTTGATGCTTTCCAAATGCTCACTAGTGGACCTCTCTCTAAGTGTGCACAGGGTATCCGGGAAAATTTGGGTTAGTAATGGTCACCTTGTTGACCCAGTGTCCGCGAAATATATGGAATATCTGTCCAACAATTCATCATCATCATCAACAACAACATGATACCAGGCATTACAGCATAACTTATGCTCCAGCAACCGCAGTTGGTGAAGGTACACAACCTTCCCAACTGACTTTACCCTCCTCCTTAAAACATACACTTGACTTCGGTATCAGACATGGTGATACCGTGACTATCCCAGGACTATCACAAACGGTCTTTTCACAAATATTTTATGTTGTAACTTCTAAGTGGTTGAGAGAATAGTATTGATTTTGTAATTAGTAAGCTCTCAGAAAGGTTCTCAGAGTCCAACTAACTCTACATCAAAAGTACAAATGAAACTGGAACTGACAAACAGTCACCAGAAGTAACAATAAACTATCGACATTTGCATCAACGTAAGAGCTTGATTAAAAGTATTATTTTCTAGCTGTCTCAAATACACATAAGCACCAGTATTGACGATAGTAAGTGGATATTTAAAAATCTAGCTTCCAGTTTATTTCGCACTACACTTATTCAAAACACATCGAGTAGCAACTTCAACGAAATCAAAACACTGAATACTATCTCCTTTTCAATGCTTAGATAAGTTGGTAAATAATTCTTAAACCAACACGTTAATAAAGTTTCAACAATTGGGAAACAACCAGATGAAGACATCTGAGTGAAACGTTTCCACCATTAGGCTATGGGATGATGATACATTTGAGTGGGGTAGGGTACTCAGATCAGAACAGATGAGGCGCCACTTAAAGCCACGAATTATTCTCTGAAGACAATCAAGTGATTAGTTAAGCCAATCAGCAAAATTTTCCGTGCAGTACCAGTATCAGCTACCATCAGATATGATGACCGATTGTTGAGAACAAGTATGCACCATACAAGAATACATGGCAGGCACTACATGAAAGTAAAGCATGGATACCATATGAAACAAGAATACAACGGTAACAAAGAATGTTAATTCCCACACAAAACGACTACAACCAAAATCTGCTGGAACAAACTAGGCAGTTAGCATTGCGTCTTGTGTTCAGAAGAAATCGTTTGCACTTCACGCTTATTATTATTATTATTTGTTCCTAGGGTTCCTAGTAGAACTAGGGCTTCAGTAGCACGCCCACATTTCACTCTCTGCTCTCCAGTCTTTTCAACATCGCTCCACATCCGCCCACAAGCTTACGTTTCTTCCTCACACGATCTCCTCCATGTCACCCTCGGACACCCAACTAGTCGTCTCCCATTTGGGTTCCACTCAAGGGCCTGGCCTGACCTGGGACGTGATGTCCCCAATCGGTCTTCTCAGTGTATGTCCAGCCCAATCCAATCCAATCCATCTCCACTTTCGTATGCATATTTGTTGCTCGATGGGTTCTTGTTTGGTTCGTCGCCAGTCACAATGAGTTCCTTGTCGCTGATTCTTTCTGGCCATCTGATCTTCAGTATCGAGTGGGCGTAGGCGGCAGCTGTTAATGATGTATGTCTGCAGTTGTTTGTTGGAAATGCTTTTCGTGACACGCCAAGTCTCTCAACCATCACACAGAAGCACTGACTTACTTGACTGACATTAGTGTTTAAAATCCGGATGTTGTTCACGCTTTATGCTGAGTGTATTGCAGTGCAGTGCAGTGCAGTGCAGTAGATCCCCACACTGATTTCAGATTAATGAAGGAAGGGCTGTCTTGCTGTCTCTCCGATCCTGTCTTTGATGTCCTCACTTGTGTCGCCGCCACCGCCACCTGTAGTTGAAACGATGCTGCCTTGTCTAGGTAGGTGGTGAAAGAGACAACCTCCTTTAGATTTCTACCGTTGATGATGATTGGTGCGTATCGTCGTTGTTGCTGTTGTTGGTTGGGCATCTTTATCACTTCTGTCTTCTCTATATTCACTTGAAGTCGCGTCTTTCTTCGCTGCCCTGCCTCTTCTGTCAACTTGTCAGTTTTCACATGTAGATCTTAAAGTTTGTGCGACATCAGACACAAGTCATCATTGGCGAAATCCAAATCTTCTAGGTTCCTTTCCATGGTCCAGCGTATCCCCCTCTTCTCACAGCTCCTCACTGTTTGTTGCATGACCCAGTTCACTACATTCAGAAATATCATGGGTGATAGTAGACAGCCTTGTTTCACTCCTGTCTTCACTTCAAAAACATCACTGAGCTTTCCGTTGTGAATTACTCGACATGTGGCGTCTTCATGTAGTTGTTGAGTGGGATTGATAAAGGTTTGTGGTATTCCGTAGTGTTGAAGCAACTGCCTGGCAAATTGCTTCTCGGCCAACGCTGTCGAATGCCTTTTCAAGGTCGATGAAGTTGAGGTAGGGTAAAGGGTTGACTGCCATTCTATATTCTGTTCTATGATGATGCGTAGCGTAGCGTTGCGATTTGATCGCCCTTCTTTGGTAGTTCAACAACGTAGCCTTTCTTCCAATCCCTAGGTACCTTTACTTCCTTCCAGACTTTCTGCAATGGTGGTGTGAGCAGATCCGCTGTTGTCTCTGCCTCTGTTTTTAGTGCTTCTGGCGGAATTCCATCTGGTCATGCTGCTTTCCCGCATTTCAGCCATCTTATGGCGCTCAGGATTTCACTTCTGCTTTTGTCAGAGGGTTTGTGTTCACTTGTAGTTCTGTGGCTGGGCTGCTGCTGGTGTTTTCGGACAATTCGCAGGTGGTGGTGACAGTCGATTCAAGAGTTTTTTTGAAGTGAACAGTTAATTGTTTTCTTTGTTTCTCCTCTTTGGTAACTAGGTTTCCTGCACCATCTTCTATTGGTTTCATCTGTGCTGACCTCTTCCCAGATAGTAACCTGGTTATTTGAGGAAACTTGAGTGATCGAGTTGTGGAGGCGGTTGACACTTCCCGGTTGCCCACACCGTGGAAGGCTATTTCTTCTTAAGGTACCTGAAAGAGATTTGTGTGACAGCACAATCAATCGGTCATCTGCTTGAGGCCTGTCACACGTAGCCTTTCGAGTATGATTATTTTGAACTTGTATTTTTGGGGCCGGATGGTAGAAAGGAAACGACAAATGAGCCAACACAACCTATCCGGCAGACCGTGAGGTATAGTGGAGTGTTATTTTGGGGGCCGACCTTTCCAACCCCCCCCTCTATTTCACTAAGAAGGCAGCATCAACATGGCACTGCTGGTCATCCAAGGGAAATGCCTTACTGCTGTCACACCCCATCCAGTTAGCAGCAGTACGAATCGCTCTCAGACCCCCATTATAGTGCAGTAGTTTACACCAAAACGGTAACTGCTTTTCGTCTAACCACTATCCAACAGACCTTTCTGGTATGGTAGGACCTCGAGGGAACAAGCGTTCCACCAGCGTAGCTCGTTGGGTCATTGTGATATGCAAGCCCGACCACCACGTCAAGGTAGCAGCTATCGGTCGGGATTTGGTTATTTGATATAAACTAAGCACTGGAAGTAACTGCTAATCAAGTCGTTTGGCCTGATCATGAGACACGTCCAAGAATACGCCTTTTGACATAAATCTAACAAACAAATTACTCGTCTTTCTTTGTTTGAAACTACGTAACATGCTAAGTGAAAGATCACTATGTTTTACATCAGCCAACTAACTCTCAAAGATACGTCCTCTTCTAATAAAGAATACCGATAAGTAAACAGATACACAGTGATGCTTCGGGATGCAATACCTACAGTATAATGACGGTAAATATTTACCAACTTTTTCAGACTAAACGTAACGATTCGGAATCTGGTGGCGTAACTGACAATATTTCTACATAACTCGGACAACTTTTTGCAAGAAAGGACTATAATCAATTCGACATTTCATAACGACAAGCACTGCAGTGCACAAATGTTAAACAAACATAAACATAATTTACAGCCAGTTTAAATGTGAGAAGAGAAAAAAACGCCCCACAACTCACAGGAAAATAAATAAAGCTAACGGTAAACGAAATACTGAGAACAAATAAAACAGAGGTTTCAGCAGTGTATTAAAAACGAAACATACTTGTAACCAAAAGACACATTTTTCGTAAAACAAGCCAAACACTATTAAGTCTACACTTACAAGTTGTTTTGAGCCCACAGCAGATTTGAGCAAAAAGTGCCAGGACAACAGAATCTACAACATACATGACAAATGGTTAGCCCAAGACACATCTGCGTTCTTGCCCCGTCGAACAATAGACAGTGAAATGGTTGGATGTGTTGACCATTCCACTTGCCTAGAAAGTCAAATCAACCCTAGGGAATCAGTGATCGAAGAAATCTCTTCACATATGCAGAAGGTTAGCTTGGCTTTCGCCAACTCATGCTATCTAAAGCATCATCATGATACACAATTGCCTATTAACGGTCGACTGGACTGCTCTGCCGTTCATCTTGTATTACTATATCATCATCATCAATATCAATATGGTTGCGAAACACGGCCATTAAACGTGGAGGACATGAGAAGGCTTCAGATGTTTGATAACTCTTGCCTTCACAGTATAGGTTGTGTCACGGAACCGCCACTTCAGTATTTAAGGAGGTACAAGACGTCAGTCATCTGATCAGGTTTTGAGTCTTCACCGACTAAGATGGCTGATACACGTGCTGCACATGCCTAAAAATCACCACCTGCACCAACGTGCAGCGCTAACTGAAATAACTTTAAGCTGAGAAAACGCTAAACGTGGCCAAGGCATGGAATTAGCCCATGAAGTTTTGACTGTTCATGTCGGTGTATGTTCATATACTAGGCTAGGCCACAATCGTTGTGAAGGCTTATGGTATTACACAGTTTTCTAGATCAAAGTATGCGGAGCGGGCTTCAAACACCACACCCGCCGCTGAAAGTCAACTTTCAATATATATGAGCTACATCCCTAGAACTCAATGAACCTGGTCATATTCCCGTCAAGGATAAAAAGATTAAAACGGAACATGCTTATCAGCTTTTGTAAGTCAACACTATTTGAATATTGATACGACTGTTTTATTCATATGTCACTAAGCCTCACTTCTTTTGTTTTCCTAGCACAATTTTGAAATCACGAAGTGAAAAGTACTTCTGTCGATTTTATATGATGTACCCGATGCCCCTACAAATAAACTGTAAACAATGGTCCAAAAGATATGTTTCACTTCATTTACAAGTGAGGAAATGTTAACATATGTAAGATTTCTCTGGATGTTTTACTGTAGTCCACACCAACGTACCAATTAGTGACACTATGAAGTTTGTGATAGTAGATATTGGAAAGAAAAATTGATATTACACTTTCATAAGGCAGAAATTACTTCTGCAATACACCATGAATTGATATTTTCTCTTTAGTGATGGGTGATATGGGCAAATTAATGGGTTCTCTTTGAGTATACTGACATGGCCAAGGCCAATACTAGTGAAGGAAACAAGAAGACACAGACGAAGAAAGGAATGCTTATTATTGACATCTTGTACAGTAGTCACCACTAAGACAGTCATTTGCATAATGTGCTTCATTTCCTCTTCTGCTTCCATCTCGATTTACTCTTAATACACCTACGTTGTCTCTTGCGTTTCTCTGGGCAGAATCCTTACCCACTGCTGGTAATTCCCTATGATTTCTACCGCTTTCTCAACATATACTATTTATATTTAGCAACGCCCACTACACTAGAAAATCGACCACTAAAAATGTTTTCGATAACCTGGATGCATACAAGCATTTTGTTATTGTGATTCTTGAGGTGAGTGACGACAGAAACAAAATTTTCAAGAAATTTACTTACACATATTATTTGTTTACTTTCACCCATGAAGGCGACCATAAATGGTTGGTTCATTAATCGGAAGACGGGAGTGGGTATAGTGAGATCACAACTGGGCGTCACGATACACATCTACTTAGTTTTGTATACATTCAATATGAAAAGATGCCTCGTTAAATGCATTGCAAGTTAGCTTAAAAGCACTTGCCCAGATAAGATGATACAAAAACAGCCAGAATATATTCACATAACACCGGTGGAAAAGAATTCTATGTATCCCATCCAAATCAACCTAGGACCAGGCATTACTGCGTAACACTCTGAGTTGTAACACCTCATCTCATATCAGTACATAGAGCAGTGAACCAGAAGATGAAGGGAAAATTCAGTCGAGAGAAATGGCTCAAACCAACAGTCAGACACTTCATACATTGATCCCATGTTTTAGTCTAGCCACCTCAGGCCTTTTTCTAGCATGGACCTACTTCCCCCCAACATTGTGTGACGAGGCAATCCACGACTAGGCATATGTAGTACGTGTCCCAACCATCTCAGTTGATGAAGGTTCATAACGTCGTCAACCGACTTACCTCTTCTCCCTAAAACTCTACGCCTCAGCCTGACTTCTGCGTTACTCACGTGGTGGTGACACCACGGAATATGTCCTATACTACGAAGGCGGTGGTGATCAAACACTTGGAGCCTTCTCATGTCTTCCACCTTCAATGGCCATGTTTCACAACCATAGAGTAGAACAGAGGGGACTGCTGTGCAGCATACGCGACTCTTAATAGACAATTGGATATCACGGTGGCGCCACAGGTGACGTAAGTTTTCGAAAGTCAGTCGAGCCTTTTGTATCCGTGCAGAGATTTCACCGGCCACTGAGCCACCAGTGCAGGGCTGATCCTACTTCCCAGGTAAGTGAAGTGGTCAACACACTCAACCATTACACTCTCTATTGTTATTCGCGGTGGGGAAGCGCTGAGGACCAATCGTGGAGCAGCAATTTGCATTTGGGTGGTAAGAAACGCATCCCTAACATTCTCAAATAGCTACTCAAAGTGTTCAGAAAACTCTGCATCTTGTCAGCATCTTTGTCTAACAGGATTATGTCATCTGTATATTCTAACAAAATCCTACCGTGGGAATGAATTACACTCATGACCATATGCAGAAACGAATGCAAGAAATATACAAAAAATCTGAAAAAAATAGTTATTCAAAAGAAATCATTTATGAAATCCAAATGAGTAGACATGCACATGACATAGTTTCAGAACAGAGACTGTCTAGAACTATTACATACTTTTCTGTGCTGTTAACCTTTCCCTCATCAGATTTAGATCGGTAGACCATAGTCATCTAGATGGGAAAAGTCACCAAACTAGTTCCGCCGCTTCGATGCTTATCAATCCAGGCGCGACACTGACAAAAGCTACATCGAAATACCACACACTGACTTAACAAACATAGTCTTAAGCGCATAAATTTTTGGCCTAAAAATGGGAAAGTTGCCTCAACCAATAATCTTCAAATGATAGACAAATCCTTAGCTTACTAGGGATAATGGAAAAGATTTGTAGCTCATGATGAGGATGATAAATGTTTGGTGTTTACCCAGTTCCGAGGTTTGTGCTTAGACGTTTCGTCTATAGGCTAGATGACTTAAACAGCGTGCACTTCATAAGCAAATCTTAACTAAGCCGCCTAGTTAGGTGATGAAATATTCAAGAACAAACTAATCTATCACACGTCAAGAAAAACATTCAAATGAAATTCGTTTTCTGAATGTAAGCATGGAAACTTAGCTCTGGTAAAACAGAATTCTATGTTAGACTAGACTATTTTTCATATGGTACTGTGGTATAGCATGATCTACTAGATGAGGTCACGGCAAACAACCCCAACCTTTAAGATCAAAAAAGATTTTACAGGATTTCACCTACTTTTGTAATCAAAAACGTCTACATCGTCATTATCCTGCTTTCATTACTCTTATCATCAAACGTACAACCAACAACAGTACTTTCACGACTACATAATAATTACCAATTACACATTCCATTACCTTGGTACAACATGAGTACACCATGTATACTAAAGTGAAGAAGTCTGAGTGCGAGTGATCTGACAGGGTGTCTTCAACACTTTCATATCTTCGTGCAAACATCTACGCTTATGCAAATTAGGCAAGCAGAATTAAGTATTCTACAATAGTCTAGTTTATAATGCATATCAAGCACAATTAGGATGCTAAGCATAATCGCTTGATAGGTTAAACAATTCCATCATTGAAATTTAGAAAATCAAGGATTTCTCCACGAAACCCCCTTGAATTAACATTTATACAAGTGTGTTTTAGACAAATTTAACTTAAAATAACTCACCTCCAAACCAGTAAACGTAACTGACGACCACACAGGGGTTAGAGCCTCTCGACACGATCGTTGGTATTTGCGTAAGTGAAGGACATTTTTAACAGATGGACCGATAGACAATGCTCTACGATTTCTGCCACAAGCATTTGATCTATGCTCTGCAGAGGCCAAATGTTCTGCTTTTGCTGAAGTGAACAGTACAGCTTGACAATCGTCGCAACGATAAAAAAACTGATTCCGACTCGGTATCATCTGACATGGCCTGAAGTATAGAAAACTTTACTATACACAGCACGGAATGCACATTACTAAAAAATTAGGAACATTTAAGGTCTGAATTTTATCTTCTGGATAAAAACACAACATTTCTTTTTGTAATCACCAACAAGGATTTACATCAACAAAGAGAGTGGATCACCCTAATTATTATTACTAATTGTCCCTAGGGTTCCTAGTAGAACTAGGGCTTCAGTAGCACGCCCACATTTCACTCTCTGCTCTCCAGTCTTTTCAACATCGCTCCACATCCGCCCACAAGCTTACGTTTCTTCCTCACACGATCTCCTCCATGTCACCCTCGGACACCCAACTAGTCGTCTCCCATTTGGGTTCCACTCAAGGGCCTGGCCTGACCTAGGACGTGATGTCCCCAATCGGTCTTCTCAGTGTATGTCCAGCCCAATCCAATCCAATCCATCTCCACTTTCGTATGCATATTTGTTGCTCGATGGGTTCTTGTTTGGTTCGTCGCCAGTCACAATGAGTTCCTTGTCGCTGATTCTTTCTGGCCATCTGATCTTCAGTATCGAGTGGGCGTAGGCGGCAGCTGTTAATGATGTATGTCTGCAGTTGTTTGTTGGAAATGCTTTTCGTGACACGCCAAGTCTCTCAACCATCACACAGAAGCACTGACTTACTTGACTGACATTAGTGTTTAAAATCCGGATGTTGTTCACGCTTTATGCTGAGTGTATTGCAGTGCAGTGCAGTGCAGTAGATCTCCACACTGATTTCAGATTAATGAAGGAAGGGCTGTCTTGGTGTCTCTCCGATCCTGGCTTTGATGTCCTCACTTGTGTCGCCGCCGCCGCCGCCACCTGTAGTTGAAACGATGCTGCCTTATCTAGGTAGGTGAAATTTGTGGGTCTCAACAATAGTTATCTTTCACATAGTACACACACACACATCGGATAAAATTATGAGTGCTTATTAAATGCAATATGAGAGCGTTCTACAGAACATCAAACACATTGCAAAGCACCTTAGCTCATTTGAAGGACAACATCCCTCTGCATTCACAATCTGGTTGTATTTTTAAAATAAAATGCTCAGACTGTGATGCAACAGACATAGAACAAACTTCCTGGGAAATCAAAATTAGGAAAAATGAACATCACTTCGTCAGTTGGCTGAATGACTTTACCACGAACCTGTCATTTGCTGCAAATTTGTGTATTCTTAGCTTACTTTGGCTTATGCACGTACCATGAAATTGGTCTAGAGTAAATGCTGTACAGTGTGCATTTTTTAGTTTTTGCCACAGTTGTGTAGTAGTGATCTTTGTTGGTCAGTGTTAAATGTCTGGGACCTGAATGGATTCCATCATTAGGGTGGACCGATGGAAAGACCCTAGAAGATTTGGATTTCGTCAATGATGATTTATGTCTAATATCTAGTCGCACAATTTCGATTATCTATAGCCAAAACTAACAAGTTGGCAAAAGAGGCGAAGCAGCGAAGACAGGACTGACTTTAGGTGAACGTAGAGAAGACAGGTGATAAAGATACCCAACCAACAACAACAACAACGATACGAACCAATTATCATCAACGGTAGAAATCTAAAGGAGGTTGTCTCTTTCACCACCTACCTAGACAAGGCAGCATCGTTTCAACTACAGGTGGCGGTGGCGGCGACACAAGTGAGAACATCAAAGACAGGATCGGAGAGACAGCAAGACAGCCCTTCCTTCATTAATCTGAAATCAGTGTGGAGATCTACTGCACTGCACTGCACTGCACTGCAATACACTCAGCATAAAGCGTGAACAACATCCAGATTTTAAACACTAATGTCAGTCAAGTAAGTCAGTGCTTCTGTGTGATGGTTGAGAGACTTGGCGTGTCACGAAAAGCATTTCCAACAAACAACTGCAGACATACATCATTAACAGCTGCCGCCTACGCCCACTCGATACTGAAGATCAGATGGCCAGAAAGAATCAGCGACAAGGAACTCATTGTGACTGGCGACGAACCAACCAAGAACCCATCGAGCAACAAATATGCATACGAAAGTGGAGATGGATTGGATTGGATTGGGCTGGACATACACTGAGAAGACCGATTGGGGACATCACGTCCTAGGTCAGGCCAGGCCCTTGAGTGGAACCCAAATGGGAGACGACTAGTTGGGTGTCCGAGGGTGACATGGAGGAGATCGTGTGTGGAAGAAACGTAAGCTTGTGGGCGGATGTGGAGCGATGTTGAAAAGACTGGAGAGCAGAGAGTGAAATGGAGGCGTGCTACTGAAGCCCTAGTTCTACTAGGAACCCAAGGGACATAATAACAATAATTTGGGAGTGGTTTTAGGACTTAATATAATGGAATCAAACAGTGCGACAAGGCACACAGTGACCACGCACTCGCACCACATGTCCCAGTCACCTCAGTCGATGAAGGTTCATAATCGCATCAACTGATTCCCCTGTTCCAAAAAACTGTACATCTGACTTCTGCACTGCACGCGTTACACTTCAAGTCTTCAATGACCATTTCATAGTTACACAGTAGAACAGAGTGAACTGTAGCCCAGTATACTCAACACTTAATAAACAATCGGATGTCGCGGCAGCTCCACAAATGGTGTAAGTTCATGAAAGCCAATGAAGCCTTTTGTATCCGCACCGAGCGGGCAGCACGACAGTAGCTGTAGGAGAACCGATGTGTTCCAACAAGTGTTCCATTCATCGTTCCAGTCGTCTCCCCTGTGAACGGATCACAACACAGATACATCCTACTCCGCCACAACCTCACTAACCACTGACTTTTTCATTCTAATCTCCTTGATAAGTATAAATAGATGTCTATCCTACTGTTACCTATATCTACCCTAGCAATTATACGTCGAAAAAAAACCATTTTCTTTCAGGCTGCAGATAAGCCTTGCCAACAAGTAGAAAACCCAGGTCAACATAACATAAAAGTGTTTGGTGACCACACTGCAAGTGATCGACAGAATTCAGTAAGCACTAAAGAGTAGATAACACAAAATCGGTTAACCTATCCACCGTTTAGTCAACGCAAAATAAAGTGCCAACTTACTGTAGCACTTCTGACAGGACTATCTATTGAGCAAGAGGCTGTTTTACTCTGATGCTTGCGGCCACGAATGTGTGAAGCCATTTGAGCTGAAGAGTTCATTTTAACATCACAACAGCTGCAAAAGAAATCCATTCCAGATGATGACGATGATGATGATGATTGGTTTGATCTTGGTTCTGTCCATTTCACATCACAATCAATATCGAAGGATGATTCTACATTGGACGTAGAGTTCAACATAGTTTCTGGTAAACAAAAATTTACATTCCAATGTGAACCTTGAGGTGAAACTGATTCTGGAGTTGAAAGAGTTGGCAAAGCAATCCTTATTGGATTACTATGATCCCATGTGTTTGAGCCGGTGAGAGCCATACACTTGGAAAGATGTTTTTTACCTCCCTGGTGCAACCTGAGCATTTTCTCTGTGTCACACCGCACGTTGCAAACACTACAAAAAGTGAGTTGGTGACTCATCTAAAAAGTGTGAATCAAGTTGAAACTAGTGGAAATCGAAGTGATACGTCAGTGGATGGTCATAATAATAGTAATAATAATAATAATAATAATAATAACAATAATAATAATAATAATAATCCCTTTCTTCCAAAGAATTTTGATACAATCTAGAATTCTCGGTATGTTATGTTGCAAGAAAAATATACTGCTTCAGAACATTTCAAGTGTTATTTATAATGATTTAAATTTTGTAAATAATATATTAGTAAGACAGACAATTACACAAAAGCTGTTGGGATATTGAAAATACTGGCTGACGTTTTAGTGTTACCAAGTTGATAAGCGAGTTCCATTGTAACACTTGCTCACCTGACAAGCGCGCTTGCTTACTAGCTGGGTACGGTAGGGTAAGAACACAATTGAATTCCATTATTCAGCCGTACACGTGTGAAGTCTAGCCCATTCTCTTCTCTTCTCAGAGGTATTATGAACACAAGTGAAATGGATGCTCAGCATCTCAAAAAAGACAGCAGTTAGCTGCCTTCGTTAATTATTAATGTCTATCAACGAGTGTCAAACAGTTGAATCAGATACGCCACTTCACTGACAGTTTTCAAATCCCTACGCAATACAACACAGCCCGTTTCTAGTAGACCGAGAGGGATTAACGCGAAACAGCAAAGAATATGTACATATATATATATACAGGGATTAATAACTTGTATAGGTACAGGCTGAGCTACACCAGTCTCAACTTCCTCTTGTAATACACAGTACACGAAAATCCGACATAAGTCAGAAGAAACGTTCAATCCAAGATCGGCAACATCTGATTTGCTTTCTACACAGACAGCATCAATATTACGACAGTCATGGAACCGAAACAGTCTTTTTCGTACTTGAGGTTAAAGTTAACAGTCTGTCATCCAGAAGGGTTTTGCTTGAGACCATTTGAGGACTACAATGCGTGAGAGCATATAGTATGATTCTAGGGCACAAGGGGATGATTAAAACAATGAAGAGGGGAGGAATTTTATGCAATATATTTTGTGGTAAAATAACAGTCCAAAGTTCAAGCGAAAAGTCGTTTTTTCTTATGGTGCAGGCATTACAAATTACGGCAATTTTAACGATTTCTGCTGACTAATCCCAACGAATTTAGCAGTGTACCCATCTCAGTTAACTTTGAGAGTCAACGACAGACGAGAACACTAATGATAAACAACATAAATTAATCCAAAACGCTAGTAAGAATTAGTTTTGTACGTCTTACGCACTATGGAACCATAATAGATATTGACAACAAGCTTCTTCATTATGAATTGATCGAGTTTATTACAAACTATTGTATATTCAAAATTTTATTTTGAAATATTACTCAGTAAACCTTATTACTGAAGACAACCACCCAATTTATATTTGTTTGTAACAAATATACATCGTTGTGGAGTATCACTCACTGCTGACGCTTGCAGAGGCGACCAAACACAATCTACGTGATATTCATTTGTATAAGGTTGTAGAGATGTGGGAAGACATATTGGGAAGAATGCTATTCGGTAGGGAATTATGGAGGAAGAATCAACGGCAACTGCAACATCAAGACGTATGATGGACAGTCAGCAATGCATCACAGTATTCAAGCATCTGGACGACAATGCGCAGTATGGATGCAAGGAATTAAGAAACTGTATTAATAATTGCGGTAACACGACTACTTGGATAAATAAGCTCTGTTGTAAATTGGCGACTGCAGTTTTAGGCTATAAATAAGTACCAGGCACCACAAGTGATCGAAATACATTCTCTCTCGAAAGTGGTCAAGAGGCAGGGAAAGTTTCAAAAGGTTTGTACTCAATTTCGAAAGTTGCTACCCAACTCAGGTGAGAAACATTATCTCTGGGTAACAGGTACTTGGAAGTCAGGCTGATCAGTAAGTAGAGGACTAACTAGAGAAGGGTATTCTCATTCACGTATTCATGTGTGGTTTCATAGGAAAGCAGCCAGCAACCAAAGCTTACCATCTCACCCGTAATGTACTCGACTAGTGAATCAATAAAAATCACCGTGACCAAGCATCAGTGAGTAATGGTTGGAGCTACCTTGAAAATACGAAGAGGACAGTAAGACCAAGGCAACATTCTTCTAGTCATAGATAAGCAGTTATGCCTCTTACCTGTCCTAGTTGGGGTACGTGCTGTATGCTGACTAACAGGGAAGTGTCGCAAATGAAGTGTAAGCACGAATGACAAAGTTTAGCAAGCTTATTGCATTGCTTTTCCGAAACTTAAGACGTGTTTGAGGAAACGGTACCATAACTTCATAACCTCGTGCCCCTTTGCTGATGCACTTGCAGAGTTCCAATAACTGCAATCTATATATTCCACTAATAACCAGACAACCAAAAAATACCTATATCATCTGATCGAAAAGGTTTAGTGAAACAGGGACATGGGACTTTGTAAGCTCAGGAATGAACTCCCTTTCCCTCGACTTTAGTGACCAGACCTGGCACATTGTCAGGTATGTATGTGTGAGCCCCTGTGAACAATCCCTTTCTTCTGATTAACTATAGTGCACCAACTGTCGAAGTTACAAGCGTTTGACCGGGAAAGCTTTTTTCTACATACAACTCTACTGTCTACTATTACCCATGATATTGCCGATTGTAGTGAACTGAATCATGCAACAAACAGTGAGAAAAGAGAAGAAGGGGATACAATGGCTGGACTGCGGAAAGGAATCTAGAAGATTTACATTTCGCCGATGACTTATGTCTAATGTCACAAAAACTTGAAGATCTATAGGCGAAAACTAACAAGTTGACAGGAGAGGCAGGGCGAGGCAGCGAAGACGGGACTCATCTCAGGTGAACGTAGAGAAGACAGAGGTGATGAAGATACCAAACCAACAACAACAACAAACTCCAATCACCATCAATGGGAGAAACTTGAAGGAAGTAGCCTCCTTCACCTATCTAGGCAGCACTGTTTCAACTACAGGTGGTGGCTGCGGCGGCACAGACGAGGACGTCAAAACCAGGATCGGAAAGACAGCAAGACAGGCGTTCACTAGTCTGAAACCCGTGTGGAGGTCTTTTGCACTCAGCGTGTGGAACAACATCCTGATTTTCGAGACCGACCCAGTCAAGTCAGTGCTCCTGTATGGTTGAGAGACTTGGCGCGTTACGAAAGGCATTTCCAACAAGCTACAGACATTCATCAACAACTGCCTACGCTGACTCGTTACTGAAGCTCAGATGGTGAGAAAGAATCGGCAACAAGGAACTCTGAGAACGAACCAACCAAGAAGCTATCGCCCAACAAATATGCAGTGGGAGGAAGTGGAGATGGATTGGGCATGCACTGAGAAGGCGGACTGGCGACATCACGCGTCAGGCCAGGCCCTCGAGTGGAACCTAGATGTGAAACTATGAGTTGGGTGTCCGAAGAGAATGTGACATGGAGATGATATGTAGAAGAAATGAGAGCTTCTGGGCTGTCGTGGAACCAGGTCCAAAAGTTCGCAGAGAACAGAGTGCATTGGAGACGTGCTACTGAAGCCCTATGTTCCATTAGGAACCCAAGGGACAAATAATGATAATTAAATTGTGCTTAATTCGCTTGTGATGACTACGAGTTAACATAAGTAAAATACACTTTATACGATATACAAGCTAATTGTTGCCGTAAACTGGTCATCCTCCTAATTACTTCGAGGTTTATAAGATGTATAGGTTTTAATGGAAAAGCTGTTGCCATATCTATGGGTAACATCCCGAAATAATGTTCTCCATAGTATTTAGTCTCGCTACCATTGCGGAAGGTAGTATCCGTTCGAAGGGCATACTCTCCAATCACAAAAGTTATTCTTCCTCGTAGACGAGGACTCGTGACGAAGCACTTGTCACAAGATGTTTCACATCCGATCGCACCGGTGCAGTTATTCGTCTAATTAACCTTACCAGTAGTAAGCCGTCAACGCAAAGGTCCTGAAGCTCGCTTATGAAATTCTGCGATATTTCATCGAACTACATCAGCTTTTGGCTTCTCTGTTAATTTTAATAATAAATAATTCACTCAAGAAAAGTACCATTACCCTACTCAGAATAGGACACAACTGTTGAGTTAGACCTCTGGCAATCGACCTACCATAGTTCAGTTGCAACACAACACCGTCAAAAGGACAGCAATATAACCACGAGTTTACATAGTGGATCAAACTTTCTTTTAGTTGTGGCAAAAATTTTCTTTGCTAGTTGTCCTACACCCACATATTTCACTATTTCTCAATATATATTGCACGTTTCTTGGTAGCATAGGGGGAAATCTGCCAGGAAGTTCCAGAACTTTGTTGGTACATGAAATCGAGACGTTGGTTACTAACATCATTCCCATCACTAATTCTGTAAGCGTTCCATGCAATCTTTCCTCACTAGTTTCCGGTGGGACAGCCTCTACGTTTAGGTGCCTTGTTGTTGAAGACCGACTTCTTGTGACTGCTGCTTTCACAATGCCGACTTTTTCAGGTGGTTCAAGCCAGTACTTACTTCGGGCGTATCGCATACAGTCTGAAAGCACTTTGGAACTTTTGACGGTTTCGAGGAAAATGTTTGGAAATGCACAAAGTGTATGCAGTGTGACCGAACTTTTGGAATAACCTATATCCACATTTCTAAGGAGCCATATTTGGTAATATTGTATATATTGTCCACGTTTCATTATCGCGTGCTTGTGTATTACAAATCCATGGAACGGAAATGACCAACAGAAATGACTGAAAAATTTAGGGGACACCCTAAATTTGGTAAGTACGCCCGAAATTGCTTCGGCTTGAAACTCAAAAGTTCCAGAATGCCCGAAGTAAATGCTGGCTGGGATGCATTTCCTCCACCCAGAAAACTCACAATACCATTGTCTCTTCTTCTGATATCCACTTAAGTGATGAGGGTTGGGGGTGGCTGTTTTAAAATAGGGATACTGACTGCTGAAACTTCTTGCCTCAGTAGTTAAATATAGATCTACGACTTGAAAAAAGTTGGGATCTATCCCATCAGCCAGGGTTAATTACCAGTAGCAGCTTAGACTACAATTCTCCATATGAAAGGAACAAAATGGATGTAATTACAGCGGGTAGTAAACACCTGAACCAACCTGCTGCATGAAGTACACTCGTCGGAATAATAGTACTGATATAACTAGTATGACTCACTAAAACAAAGGTGTGAATGTAACCATAAAAGTCAAACATCTCCTACCAGTTACGCTCAGGGAAAATGCTGACTTTCATGATATAAATCTAGAGTTAGCAAACATAAAATAATGATGCCTTCACAGTCTGACGTCGGCTGCGCTGCATTCACGAAAGTTGGTGGTCACATTATCTCCATCCATTACCCATTATTTCCGCATTTGTTGCTTCACTTCACATTTTTCTGTTTCATATCCCCTTGACGCATTTATTCCCCCTACAACGCATTATTTCCCCATCGCTTCTCCCACATTGCCCCTTTATTGTCTGCTTCAGCATATGAATGATCTTTACATAACCTCCCGACGTCCTCACTATTTCTGCCAGGCTTACAGCAGCGTCTGTAATTAGGATGACTGCATGGTACTCGGGGTTAGTAGTATAAAACTTCGACGCAGAATCAGGACTCCTGATAGTTTAACCCTTCCTATTCCATTGAAATTCCTTTCCGCACACTATTGAGTTCATACCTGTGTAAGCATTTTGGAATCCAGTGAATTGTCGTGAGGTATGTGAACCTGGTAAGTGGACCGCATCGTTCGGTTTTTGACGGCAGGACTAAGGATGATGATGCAGAAAATGTTTCCCAGTTTACAACATACAAGTGGTTACGGGGAGAAGTCACATGAAAATACTACGCCTCTCGCTATGAGGGAGTTGAAGAAGCAAGACTTTTGACACTTAGCTTTGGCAACAAAGGATACCGATGCCTCTATGGATAGGATGCAGACTTATTCAAGCAGTTTTATCATCTCATACACGAATGCAAGGATTCTCTTCAACAAGTGGACTAGGTTTAGTAGTGTAATAAGCACAATAAGTGCTAACAACATTTCTATTTCAGAAACTTGGCTGTCTTCAGAGATTAGTTACAGGAAACACATTTACTAGGATCCGTTCCTTTTAGAAGCGATAAGTTAGCACGCAGGGGCCACGGTGTAATTTTTACATCAAGGATACCCTAACTGTAAAAGCTACAGAAACGATTACACACGAAAGTGGGACATGATGCGCTACCAACTAAAATGCAAGGGACAAGACGCTAACCCAGTCGTAGCGTACTGAAGCGATGAATATGCAACAGAAGACCTCGTCCTGAGTAGGCCGACCCCCTAGACAGACGGCTGCCGACGCCCAGATGTAGCAAACCTAAACGCACTTCCAGTTGACTGGAAGAGACCAACAGCAGAGGTATCACGTCACTCATCCGACCATAGCTTAGTGAAAACGCCAATTTCCTTGGCCCTTAAATACCACATAGGGGCGTCAACCAGATGTGATTGTCAGCATGCTCCATCAGTTCTCGACTTGGCATTCTCACACATAGACGATGTAGGCTTCATCCGGCGCCTTGCGTCCCTTGGTAAAAGTGATCATACTGTGACCATGTTCATATTTACAGCAGCCATCTTGTCCCATGCCGACGCCGCAGCTGGACTCAGGGTATAGAAAGTGAATACGGCAGCTATTAACTTGGCGGCTTCTTCAGAGGACTGAACAGTTAATTCAGAAGCCTCAGTTGAAGCTTCATGTGCTCCACCAAACGGTTATACGCACTACTGGCTCAACCATTCACTCCGAGAACTGTTCTGAAGGAGCAGAAACACTGTCGTTCGTGTATAAACCAAGAGATCCGTATCTCGCCGCTAAGCAAGCGAAAGTATGGGGGTCTGGCCACCCACCTCAGTATTTCCGAGGTGATGAAGCGTTGTAAAGATGCCAGAAATAAATGTACCGCCGCCATCCGCCGGTCTCGGATATGCTTCGGAACATGTCCTCCTCAGAATGCGCTGCGAGATCCGAAGAGGTCATTTCCTTAGGCGAGCTACAGAAACAGGACGTGCTGCGGTAAGGAAGCCCTAATCAAAGGGACAGAAATTGACCGTCTAATTGTAGATAACAAGGGAACGCAGAAGCTTTGCTTGGATACCTTGCCAAGGTCTCTGCCCAGGAATGTCCTGTGGACACTAATTCAACCATAGAGGGGTTGGCACCCAACAGAATGAATTCTCTAAATGTCAATCGTGATGATGCATTTCGGACATTAGGAACTCTCGGTGTAGAAAAATCAACGGGACTCGAACAAGCTGCACCCCGGGCTGCTCAGATAACTTGCACACGTCGTGGTCGGCTAGCTGAGTATTATATTTAGACTCTCTGTCAGTCAAGTCACGGTCCCGTAAGCTTAGAAGGGTGCCGTTGCCATATCTAACTACAAGGCAGGTTCGGGCAGCACCCTTCAAATTACAGACCGAAAAGTTCTGCCACTGCCGTTATAGAAATCCTGGAAAGAGTAATCGGGAAGACCGTTACAGTTCATTTACTCTATTGTCTCGTTCGCAACATGGCTTTTTCACACGCCCCCCTTGCTTGACGAACCTCACAATCAGAAAAAGTCCGGCCAAGTCTAACAGCGGCGAGGTGACTGTAAATAAGTGAATATTTTATCCTCCTATTGGCAATTTGACATGAGAGATGCCAGTTTACTAGCGCCATCACTCTGATATATGTTGGAAAATGTACAGGATTTTACGGGACCTGAATGACAAGGAATGGAGGTCATTAAATTCAATTAAAAACACCAGAAGATCACACAAGTAATGAAGCGAACAAAAAAATATGACTTTTCAGTGTATACAGAGTGTTAATGTTTGGACCGTTTTCAGTCATACTTTCTTTTTTCACCATTAGTGGTACCAAGGTCGCCCAGAATTCCAACTGTCCGTTAATAGCAGTCGACACGTTTGATTTGTCTTCGCAATGTCCCATTACGCCAGACAAGCGTCTGTTTTACCATAAATTCTTATACTTATAGATTCGGAAACCAAAGAAGCCCATACTGACTATTTGGGGAGTTTCTGAGTTTCCACATAATCACGTAATCCGAGTGAATACCTATTCAAGTGTTACTACTCATAGCAATATAGATTTACGCCATCAGAATTAAATATTGTGATGCAAAGGAATAAACATTTAAAGAACTGCCGACCAATGGCACTGAGTTTTCCATACTGTTCACGTTAAGGTGTGCAGCATTGTCAAGGACGTATATTCACTGTCAGATGAGGTACTGGAAAAGTCTGTTGCATAGCATCATTTTGAATGTGTTCACTTTAAAGTTAATAGGTGAGTTGATCTCCTGGATTTCACCATCTGTCCAGATTTCTGATGCCATTATGACCGTCTAGAAATTTGAGTAATTCGAGGATTGATATATGTTCATATGGTGAGAGGGTCAAACGAGTGAATGGGATCAGTAATTCTTGTTTATTGGACAGTAATTTGCGTCGGAGCATAGTTTCATTGCTTCGAAATAAGTGGAATGTTTAGAATAGGTAGCATATATCTCTCATTTGTGTCATATGTTCATAATTGAAAGCTATCTTTATGGTGTGGGTATTCAAGGATCCAAGTTAAATCCTTTTTTGCGTTCCGATTTCCAGATAATTCGGCAAGTCTTCATCATTGTCCAGTTTCTCCATAATCTAATGGTATCTTCGTGTTGCAACTATCAGAAATTTTGGCAGAAAAAAACAACAAAAGCAGGTGTAGCCCCTACACCTCCGAGGTTGAAAATTGTTTATATATTGAGAGGGCTTAACGTGTCTGTGGTTTTAGTAGCAGTATTAGTGGTGCTCTTTATGCACTGTCCTGTAGTGTAGAGTTAAGCTGTCTTACGGACCTACTCAAAGTGTTTGGTTCACGTGCTTCCCCAGGTAAACCGCTCCATATCTGAGCAAATTTTAAGACAGAGAAGTTCTCCATAGAGACCATTTTGAAATGCTCAACTGCTACTGTTGCAGTTGCGTTTCTGAATCCGTATGTGGTTTTGTTCATGAACCACACGTCTGTGTGTGTGCAGTAAGTTAGCCTGTTAGGAACTTATAAAACAGTATCAGGTTTAGTCTGGGCCCTTTGTTCTGCAGTGGTTCAAGTCCTAGGATGTTGCACCTGGCAGCATATTTTACGTCCCTATTTGTGTTTAGTATTCTCATCGTAAAGTATCTCTGCACTCCTTCGACACTCGGCCTATCCGTAACCCTTATACTGCTGTACATAAATGAACAATATTCGAGCAGTGGTGGGACACATGTTTTATACAGGATAGCTCTAGATTTGGTACTATAGAAGTTCCGTAATAAGAAACCTACCAGTTTGCGTGATTTCGACACCTGCGTGGATACGTACTCAGAGAAGGTTAGGTTGTGAAAATATTGGGGCCTCAAGCCTTGTACAGACTTCAGTTTTGGGAGTGAATGCCTGGCTATGGTCAAGTTTAGTTCGAGTCCGTAGCCATCTATACATATCCAGCCACATTTTTCTGTGCTAAATTCTAGTCGTCAGGTGTTGCACCACTTGCCAACATATCTTAGTCCCTCTTGCAAAGTGCTAATGGTCAGGGTTAAGTCGCTGTTAAGGCATGTGTATACTACCTTCAGGTCATCCGCATATAAGAATGGCTTGCCCACCCTGAAACAGTCACGTATACTATTGATGTATGTTGTGAAGAGAAGTGGACCCAAGACACTGTCCTGGACGACACTGGTTATTGGTTTAGGCTTTGCGATAGTTGAACCAACTTTCGTTATTTGGTAACGGTTACGGAGAAGGGATTTTAACCAGTCTAAAAGTGGATTACAGATCCCAATGGATCTTGGCCTACTGATAAGCAAGTTGTGTGGGACTCTGTCGAAGGCCCAAGTGATGTCGAGGTAAAGTATTATCACTAACTTTTTCTGATCCCTTTTACTGGTGATCTCGTTAAAAAAGTCAAACAGGTTTGTAGTGCAAGGTCTTCTTTTCAGAAAGCCATATTGCGACTAGTTGATATGGTTAGATTCCAGCAGGTAATCAGACATTTGACTTTTAATCACCGTTTTCATAATCCTTGAGATGACCGGGGTCATGTTAA